ACTTTTGGAACTCCCCTTGAACCACTCTTTGTTCCAGTAAGTATTTTAGGCTTCGCTGGTCGGTTCTTACTATGAAATGACGTCCCAGCACGTAGTGCCGCCACTTCTAGACAGCTAGGACGATTGCCATTAATTCTCTTTCGTACACCGACTTGAGGCGTGATCTAGTGGACAAAACCTGGCTAAAATAAGCTATGGGTTGCTGGTTCTGCATCAGAACGACCCCCACGCCATACCCCGATGTGTCTGCCTCAATAATGAAAGGTTTGGAGAAATCAGGAAGGACCAACACAGGCACCGAAGACATGGCCCTTTTTAGTTGCTGAAAAGCTACCTCAGCCTCTACCGTCCATCCAAAAGCGTCCTTCTTAAGCTGTTGCGTAAGGGGCCAAGAGATTCCCCCATATCCTGCTACGAAACTGCGGTAGTACCCGATCAAACCCAAGAATCCACGTAGTTCCCTGATGTTTCTGGGCGTTGGCCAAATTTTAATGGCTGAAATTTTATCCGGGTTCGCGGCCACACCTATTGTTGAGACCAGGTGTCCCAGGTATTCAATATGTGTCCGGGCAAACTGGCATTTCTTTGCATTAGCGTAGAGCTGCTGGGAGGCCAAAATTCTGAAGACTTCTTTCAAGTGTTGGACATGTGATGCCGTATCCTTGCTGTACACCAATATGTCATCAAAAAATACTAATACGAACTTGCGCAAGTGCTCGTGGAATACCTGATTCATTAGGGACTAAAAAGTTGCGGGGGCATTTGTTAGCCCAAACGGCATCACCAAGAATTCATAATGGTCTTCATGCGTTCTTTGGAATATCTTCCTTTCCACACGAATTTGGTGGTATCCCGACTTAAGGTCCAGCTTAGAAAATATTGTGGCCCCGTGAAGTTCATCCAACAGTTCATCAATGACCGGAATAGGGAATTTATCCGGAACCGTTGCTTTGTTTAATGCTTGGTAATCAATACAAAACCTCCAGCCCCCGTCCTTCTATCTCACTAGGAGAACAGGACTCGAGCAAGGACTTGTACTAGTCTTTATGATTCCTGCATCTACCATGTCTCGGACCAAGCGCTCAGTTTCATCTTTCTGGAAGTGAGGGTACTTGTATGGCCTCACATTAATTGGATGAGTCCCTTCCTGCAACGGGATGGCACGATCAATTTCCCTGGATGGTGGTAGTGACCTGGACATGTCAAAAACTGCAGCATACGTCTGTAGTACTTGCTGTATTTCTATAGGTAGTGGCTTATTTTCAGTTTTCCCAACTTCTGCCCCTAAACTTCTTAACTCCACCCACACTCCTTGACCCTCTTGCTGTAAGGCCTTTACCATAGTTTTGAGAGACACTTCTGTATGATTGCGCCTATGATTTTCCTTTAGTGTAACTATCTCACCTCCTAATCGAAAACTCATCGTGAGGAGTTTCAAATTGACTTCCATACTGCCTAAGCTTCCTAGCCACTGCATTCCTAGGATGACATCGGTGTTACCCAAATCAAGTGGCAAAAAGTCTTCTACTATTTTCAGCCCTTGTATCTCTAGCAGGACCCCCTTGCAAATCCCTTTTCCTTTGACCGACACCCCAGTTCCCATAACGACCCCGTAGTTGGTTGTTGCCACAGTCGGTATTCCCAGCTGCCTAATCAATTCTGCTGATATAAAGTTATGGGTCGCCCCACAATCCACCAGTACCACCACTTCCTTTCCCCTTATCGCACCTGATAATTTCATAGTACCTGGAGTGGAGAGCCCTACCACCGAATTTAGAGACAGCTCTACTATTTCTGCCACTTCCTGCGGGTCGCCTGTTGACGGGGACTTGTCACTTTCCTTCGGTTCGGCTTCTTCTTCTTGTAACAGTAATACCTTCAGCTCCCTATTTTTACATTTGTGTCCAACTGTGAACCTCTCATCACAGCGAAAACATAGTCCCTTTTCTCTTCTTGCTTGCCATTCTACATCAGTCAAGCGTCGAATTGGAGTTTCCTTGCGTAGGAACGGTGTTTTCTCCCCTACCGTCACTGATCTGATTGGGAAAGGTTCACCGCCTCTCGCCTCTCCTGGATGTACAGCTGAAATTGGTTTAATCATTTTTAGGCCATGAGGATTTATGATGGTCTTCATTACTTAGTTCCTTTCTTCCATCCTTTGGGCCATCTCCATGATGCGGCCCAGCCCATTTGGTTGGTGCAGCCTAACTTCAGCTTTTATAGTTGGGTTGAGTCCATTAATAAACGTACTCTCCAGAACTTCTTCAGGGAGACCGATCAACGGAGCTGCCAATTCTTCGAATGTCTTCCGGTATTCTTCAACGGACCTCTCTTGTCTGATAGCCAGAAGTTTCTCACATAAACTTCCCTCTTGTGTTGGCCGAAATCTCAGTAGGAGCTTCTGTCGGAAGGATTCCCAAGATATAAATGGGTCTCTTGCCTCCGTCCATTGTAAACAGAGGGCGGTACCGTCGAGGCTAACCCCTACTGCCGCCATCTTCTCCTTCTCCGCCAAACCCATTAATCTCGAAGTATCTTTCAGCTCGGTACACTCATCCATCTGGATCATCGCCACTGAAAATCG